TAGCACATACAGCTAAATTATGTGAGTGTATGATCTTAACAATTCATTCATCAACATGTATTCCCTTTTCAGTAGTACTGCACAATTAATGTATTGAGTTTTGCTTTGGGATGTCCCACTCTGATAGGCACCACAGGAATCCCAGATTGTTCCCAAAACTGTTCTGCCTTCAGGATAACAAATTTTATAACATCATCCCTTTTATCTTTCTACGTGGGTCCACGACTGAGAAAAACAAAGTAGTGAAGCACATCCCCGTTGGTGGGCAGTAGAGATCCTTTTTTGGGGGGGTCAAATCTTGCAGTAAATTGCTTATGAGCCACACTTCAGACACTTGTCTATCAGTCTTTCTAAGTACCAGGTGGTTTGGTGTGGATTAAATTGGAGGAAAACTTCCTGCGGTGGTTCTTTTTCCATATTTTCACTCATTGCAGAGTGAAAATACAGCGTATAAAAGATAAAGAAAAAGTTTACAACTTGCTACCATGTTGTCAATGTCTGTTTTGAACAGAAAATGATTTTTGAGGTGGGTGGGAGGTCAAAACATGGTAACAATATGGTAGGGGTGCACAAGGAACATGTGAATTTATTTATTTATTTATTTTGCAATGGTCTAATGCATATGGTTTTTGGTTGAGGGAAATCAGTTTCTTGTGAGGAAGATCTCTAGCTATATATGCATGAAGATTCTGGCTTGGGCCAAACCGCAATACTTCAACAGAAAGCCTTCCAACCAGGCCAGAGATTGGCAAAGTGCAGTCTTCCAGATTTTGGACTAAAATTCCCTGCAGTACTTGCCATTATGGCTAGGGCTGATTGAGACTGTAATCCAGTAACATCTGGAGGGCTGGACTTTGTTCAATCCCTGAAACTGGCTCTGGACACAAATAACTGGAGAATAACTGGATCTAGTTCCCTATATGTGGTGGGAAGTAAGAGCCCTTAGCTTTTACTCCTAGACCCTCAGCCTGCATGCCTTTGCCTCAGTTCCACAGAATACTGAAGCATTAAGGTTTAAAGAAACTTAAATTCATAAAGAAATGTGTACGAGAGATTGAAGACGCATAGGGCCAAAAAGAGCAGTCAATGTCACTGATAAAATGAACAAGTTGTACATAAAAGATACAGCTAACTATTTTGGGAGTTTACACATATAATGCCTTCAGGAAAATTAAGGCTAACTAATATGGGACAGATCTGCTGGGTGAAGGGGAGTGGAAGTCAGACTCTTGCCATACACAGGATTTGGAGAAAAGTAGGGTCTAATCCAGTACTGTTTTGTTTCACTGATTCCTTTCTTTAAATATGAAACCTGTGGCTTGAGGGGTTCTATTTGGTGTAACACTATGGGGGCCACAAACAGCAGCACCTACATTTCTTTGCTTCTTCAGACATGGGATATGACCTTCTTTTCAGTAGTTAAACAGAAGTTCAGATGATAAAGGTAATTTAAGAACTAAAGCCAGGAGGACAAAAACTATACGTGAAAGTCATCAAAACCTTTACCACCTAAATCCTGACAAAATATCATCTCCTAGCTCTTTGACAGCAGAGCTGAGCCAATCAATAAACTGACATTGCTCTGAAAAGTACAGGCCTATAGCCTTCCTTCATTACTTCCTCCCAGAACCTCTAAGAAAAATGTCCTTTTTACTTTCAGATGAAGTCAAGGTCCTGCTATTTATGCTGTTTGAGTCAATGCCTCTGGCTTATTTGGGAGAAAATTCTTTGGTCCTCCACAGCTTTTACATGGCCTTATGTCAGGAAGCCCTAGTTTGGCCCTCAGATCCCCATCTATAATTAAAGGGAAGATAAAAACCTATGTTACTGGGTGAGTTCTATGCTTTGCTGAAACATGGAAGGTGTTCACACTTTTAAAGATGATTCAGTGCACAATGGTGTCTATCCATATGATGCAGAAATTGCCATCGGAAGAAAAATTACAATGATTCTAGGATTTCCTTGCAATGCCCCATAGTTTATAATTGTGCTAAAGAACATACCAGTTGTGCAATCTACCAATAATCATCTGTATCTTGCATTTTCATTCATAATAGGTTTTCTGACAATATTTCTAACAAGGTAGCACAGGGAACACAGCAACAGCAAGATACAGTACTCTCCCAATATTACGGCATTGCAAAATGCATGAGTTTGTTCCAAACAAACAAACACCATGAACAAATTATCTTGGTTCCAAAGCAATATAAATGGGCTGTAGGCTGGACAGACTTTCCAAACATGTTGAAAGTATCTAGGACCAATTTCCCTCTGGCATCTTATTTCCTTCTTCCATGTGCAGCTAATGCAGCCAACAGAAAACATACACACTTGCATTCCAGAAAGAACTGTGCATCATTCCAAACAACTAGACAATTGGCATGATTTAGACATCTGAAAGGTATCAGATATGTTTAAAAGATACAAAATCTGGCTTGTTTCTTAACAGATTCTTTTTTCTAATGAGGTACATACCATAAAATGCTGATCAAGGTTCTTTCCCCCATGTGGTCCAACAATTTTATATTTTAGATTCAGAACAATAAGATCAGTTCTATAACAATTTCTTTTATGACTCTATCGCTGGAATCTTGTCAACATAACTACATTTCCACACGATGAAAAGGATTACACGGGAGTTGTGGGACTGTAGCACAGAATTAGGAATTGCTTAATTTCTGAAAATCACGCTCTGCTGACAGTACCAGCAGCCTTCCTCAGGCATGGTTCTGCCAAAAGGATTTCCGCCTATGTGTTAAAAGACAATGACTTTTAAGTGTTACTGGAGGTGGTGTCACTCCTATAAAAGCAAACTAAGGCTGTGAGCACTGAGAGAAATGATGGTTAGAACAGAGCCATGGAGACTCAGACTTAGACATGAAGGGGAATGTATCTCATTCATTCATTCATCTATAAGCAAGCAAGCAAGCAAGCAAGCAAGCAAGCAAGCAAGCAAGCAAGCAAGCAAGCAGCAAGTATTCCTTCCATGTAGTGACAGAGTACTTCTCTGGGTGGCTAACAGTAATAAAAAGAAATAAGAACCCACCCACCAGCACATACAGCCAATTGGAAAAAAAACAAAACAATGAAAATCCTCCAGAGGCAATGTCAAATAAAACTCATTTTAAAACTAATGGGTCTGCAAAAATATTAAAGGGGGAAGATGAATCCATTCCTATGTATCTTCATAGTGATACATGTTTCAGCAAGCCTTTGTTTACATTCCAGTGGCAAGTCATAAAATAGGTAAAGGTTCCCTTTGACATTTAATCCAGTCATGTCCAACTCTATGGCGTGGTGCTCATCCCCATCTCCAAGTCATAGAGCCAGCGTTAGTCCAAAGACAGTTTCCATAGTGACATGGCTAGCGCGACTAGACACGGAATGCCGTTACCTTCCCACTGTAGTGGTACCTATTTATCTACTTGCATTTGCATGCTTTTGAACCGCTAGGTTGGCAAGAGCAGGGACTAGCGATGGGAGCTCACTCCGTCGCGTGGATTCAATCTTACAACTGTTGGTCTTCTGACCCTGCAGCACAGATGCTTCTGCGGTTTAACCCACAGTACCACCATGTCACTTTTAAAATAAAGCATGCTAAATACAAGGTACCTATGTGAGGCAAATCATATCCTTTGACAAACAGATATATTTCATTGCTAGAGAGACATTTCTGCTAACAATATGATAAATGTAATTGTCTAGCTTGCTCCTCAGAAAGATCAGCTCACTCAGAGAAACCCCCAAGATCTCATTAAAACAAAGACAGACAAACACTCGCTCAATACTTCATTCTAGTAAGGCTGAAAGTTTGGACATTCCCATGGAATGCTGAATATCAGTTGGAAAAAAAAAAACAAACAGAAAACAGGAGATATGGAATCCTGCTTAATGTCTTAAAGCTGGTTGCTGGATTCCCCACTCTGATGCCCTCCAGACTATGGCTAGGAATGTAGATTCTAACTTGGTTCTTCCTTGTACCATAAAGGAGAAAATTTCCTCTTCATCTCCTCATTATGTCATGTCAATTGTCTTGGAGGGTTTGTACATTTTAGGGCTGCATTTGTCAGACTTAGAAATGCACAAAATTGCAAACTTTGTCAATGTAGTTGGAAACTGTGACAACTGCTTTTAAAGGTGCAGTAGGTAAAAGGATACCCAGTGTTGTATGGTGGATAGCGCAACAGAAGACCAGGATTTTAATCCCTCTTCAGCCATGGAAATTCACTGGAATGTGTGTGGAACTGTCAATAAAACTCCTTAAAATATCGCATTTACCTTGAAAGGTATAGGTCCCTATAAGTTGGTTCCAACTTGACAGCTCATAATAGTAAATGTAGTAGCACTGCTACTACGACTATGTCACTGTGATCAATCCTTGTGTTTTTGTCCTTGTGTTTTTGCTGTAGTTTTCATTTTTCATAAGCTTTCACGTGTCTAAACATACTTCTTCAGATGAAGAAATCTTTGCCACCCCCCTTCCCTTCAGATGAAGAAATGTGCTTGGACCCATGAAAGTTTATGAAAAATAGAAACTAGTTGGTCTTAAAAGTGCTACCTTTGGTTTGTCTTTTTCTACTGTATGTTGTGCAGAGGCATTTTATGTAAAATGTGGAAAGCATGCTGGGTTCTTGCCTTGTTCTTATGTAGGAGAAGAAATTATCATGGAAAGTCAGAAAACACTCAACCAACTGTCGTGCCATATTGGGTTGTCTTGTCTCAAACCAATCCAAGACAATGGGTTACATGTTGTTATTTCTATTATTATTTTGTATCCTATATATAAATCATACAGGGGGTTACACTGGCTGAGAATAACTGAGGGTACAGTGTAATAGATCAAGAGGACATCAGGTTGGATGTTAGTTCTACTTCTACACTCCGAGAATACCTCGTCTTGAACATCCCAAAACACAGACAGGATAATAAGAATGAGAACAGTTCCATTTGGTATAAAATTTCTGTCTCAAGCTTAGGGTTGTTTAAATCCTTTGGATTACCTGTTGATGCTGTTTTTCTGTGCCAACATCTGCCAGTCTTTGCCTTTAGCACTGGGAGTATCAAATGTTGCACATATTCTTTGCCTGATCGAGTATGGTATCTTAAAGGCTTGTGGACCCATCTGAGTTGGAAGGTTGCTGTCATCGTGTGCAAACAAAGGAATGGTTTCTCTTTCATTCTGCATGAAGAAAATCATTTATGGTTGAGGAGTGTTGAGCTTGCTGAGAACTGAGTTGATTAGCTCATTAGAAATCATGGTGCATCCAAATCCCCATTAACTTAAAGATAACCATGCAACTTCATACATTTAAACAATAAATACACAGGAATTTCTCTCAGTATTAACAGCTGAAAAACAGAATTTGAAAGCTGAATTTATTGCACTTAGGGGAGCCACAACTATACCCAGAATCTTAAAAATTAAGTGTATCTTAAAAATTAAGAGGGAATGTCATGAAAATTGAGGAAAGTCATTTCTGTAACTTCAGATATAGGAATAAAGCAATCCCCTCCATCTCCCAGGTTATTTCTGTGTCCTCTGGAAACTCTTAATTAAAAAGGGGGGGAAATGACATACGCACCCAAATTGAGACAATTTTGCCTCCAGGTATTCTCCACTAAAACCAAATTGCATCCACTATATCTTGTCTTAGCAAATAACCTGCTATATGAATGGGAAGCAGTTTTTTTCCCAGATGAGAAGAAGCATTCCAGTCACTTTTGCTTTTGCTTCAAGTACAGCCCTGTCCTTCATGTTATTTAACACCTACACGAAACTGCTGGTAAAGACTCTCTGGCATTTTTCGGTTCAATGCCATCAGTATGATGATGACACCAAATTCTATTTCTTGTTCCCATCTGATTCCAAGGAAGCCGGTTTGTGCTCAGACCAGTGTGCCTGTTGTCAATAATGGACCGGATGAGGGCTAACAAACTAAAACTTAATCCAGACAAGACAGATGTCATAAGACAAGTCATAAGACGAATCAGAGGGTAGGAATTCAGCCTATAGAGGATGGGGTTACACACTCCCTGGAAAGAAAGGTTCAAAGTTTGTGCCCTTGGACTGAACCCTGAGCTTGGATTGACAGGTTTCAGCAGTGGCCAGGAGTGTGCATTTGCAGAGTTGAACCTGGTGTGCCAGCTGTGCATGTTCCATAAGATGCCTGATCTGGCCATGGTGACACACCCTTCTGATGTAACACATTTGGATTACTGCAATGCCTTCTACATGGGGCTGCCTTTGAAGAGTATTTGGAAACTTCAACTGGTTAAAAATGCTGCAACCAGATTGCTGACTGAAGCTGGTTATGTAACTCCTTTGCTACAACAACTTCACTGGCTGCCAGTCCGTTTCTGGACCCAGTTCAAAGTGCTGGTTATTACCTACAAAATCTTACATGGCTTGGATCCATTTGAAAGATTAAGAAGATCTTAACATCTTCTGGGGAGGCCCTTCTCTTGGTACGATGCCTTCCCAAGTTTGTTCAGCGAGGACACAAATGAGGGCCTCCTCAGTGGCTGCTCCCGGGCTTTGGAATGGGCTGCTCTGAGAAGCCCAGTTGCCCCCCCCCCGTCTCTCGTCTTTCCATTGTTAGGCAAAGGGCTTCCCTTTCAGGTGGGCTTTGAAGCAATAAGTGTCTCAGTGTCTTGTGAACTTATAGATTTTAATTTTTTAATGTTTTAAACTTGTTCTTAATCATTGTTTTAATCTTGATATATGTTTGATTAGTTCTATAGATTTTAATTTTTTTAATGTTTTAAACTTGTTCTTAATTATTATTTTAATCTTGATATATGTTTGATTAGTTATTAATATGATAGTCTTATGGTATTTTAAAACTTTTGATTGTTTCAAAGATTTTGATGTTATGGGCCATCTTGGGTCCCCTGTGGGGAGAAAGGTGGCATATAAATAATATAAATCAATTAAAAATGGTTAAAACCTTTGCCAGAGACCCGGGAGGATGAAGTTCAGTAAAAATACTTGATGAATAAACAGTTTTGCTGGGTGTAAAGGAACTACCAATGTTCCAAGTTCAGTAGTGAGTAACTTCCAGTATACTGTGGGGTATTTTACTTGAATTTGCTGCTGCTGTTGTGATGGCAACACTTCTCTTTCACACACACACTTGCAGTCTTGCTTGAAAGTAAGTCGGAGAGGAACCACAGAGACCATTTGAAAAGAAAATATAACAGGTTGTCTTGCCATAGAAGGAGCAAATTCAGCAGTTGCAGGAGGAAGAGTAATGGGAAAGCAAGGTACTTAAAAACAGGATGACGCCCATGGGCCAAAGTTTGTTAAAGGCTGTCCTTGGTAGGTCTTGAGAATGGTAACTATCCATACTACACCTCTCATAATCCCCCATCCATGCTGGCTTGGGGATTCTGAGAGCTGCAGTCAAAAGAAGCTTGGGTTGTAGGAAATTACTTGCCTCCATTTCTCAGCCTGTCTTTCTTTTCTTCCTCTCCCTGAGATGGTGAATTCATCGGGCCAAGCACTTTCCTCCCTGCACCCCATGTTTTTTTAAACATATCTTTTTTGAATATGTCTTTTTAAAAACGTCTGGCACCTCAGGATATGTCTCTTGTCTGGTTCTTCTGGGTGCTAGTGCAGCATAAATATTTTATGGGAATGATACTACAAGCCTTTTCATATAACATTTATGGCAATCTTAGAAGACATGCATGCAAAGCAACAGGAATGATGTAGATACACTGCATTTCATGATTGTTTTCAATTAAATATGCAGTAGATGTGGTACTCGGCACTTTGAAGATAAGCTGCTGCTACCTGGTTCGGGTTTTTTTTTTTAAGCAGAGCCAATGATAAGTTAAAGCATTGGGGATGTTTTTTTTTTTCTTTTAAAAATATTATTGCTTTTTCACTTTGTTGAATTAACCTTGTCTTTCTAATAATCTTTTGGAGGCAGAGGTAAGAAATAGCAATTCCATTACTATAGCTGTTTAAAGAGCAAAGCAAATGACATTCTATAAATAGAGTTCTGGGGTAGGACGCTGGCGCTCCTGTTTAGGAGTGGGAGTATAAACTGTGTATTCAAATCCTGTATATGAGGCAGGATGAATAATGTATCTAATATTTATTTATTTATTTAAAATCTTGTTATCCCCCTTTTCTCCTTAAAAAGGACCTAAGGCGGCTTACATCATTAAAAGACAATATTTAAAGCTAAAAACAAGAAATACGCAAAATGTTAAACAGGATCAAGCAAATACCACTCTGAGAAATGGCAAACAAAAGCACATTCAAAGCAATAAGGCATAACAACCTATTTAAAAATCCCACTCAGGCAGAGAAAAGTCTTTGCCTGCTTGCAGAAGGACAGCAAAGATGGGGCCAGTCCAGCCTCCTGTGGGAGGGAGTCTGGGAGCAGCAAATCCACCTGTGAAGGTGGTGGGACTGAGAAAAAAAGCTTATCCTGATGACTTCCTGGCATGTGGCCATTCTGACACTGCTAGATTGCAACTCTCCTCGGATCTAACCAGCATAGCCAGTGATGAAGGGGCATAGAAGTTGTAGTCCAGTATCTAGTTGGTGCAGTTGTTGCAACCTGATGATGGTGACAGGATTCTTGGAAATGCCATTGCACATGTGCTAGACCCTTGCCCTTCCTGGCATCTAAAAGCAGCCAGAGGGGGATTGGCCGAGAGAGTAGGGAGGATGGTGTATGCCTTGTTGCAGCAGATTAGGATCCCAGCATTTTTCAAAGGGTAGTAGTAAGAGCATTACTGAAAAAGCTTTCCTTGAATCCTACTTTACTGGACAACCATCGGCTAATCTCAAATGTTCCATTTCTGGGCATGGTACAGGAGTGTGTGGTGGTTTCTCACCTCCAGTGATTCCTGGAGGAAGCAAATTAACTAAACCTAGTTAATAGCTTCAGTCTGCTTTCAGAACTGGCTATGGGATGGAGACAGCCTTTACTGTCTTGGTGGATGACCTACACCAGAAACTGGACAGAAGGTTTTGCTAGATCATTCAGCAGCTTTCGATAACATCAAAGCAAAGCAAAGCAAAGCAAAGCGTGCTGCTTATATACTTCCCCATAGCGCTTCAAGCACTCTCTGGGCGGTTTACAAGTTATGCAGGCTACACATTGCCCCCCCCCCAGCGAGCTGGGTACTCATTTTACTGACCTCGGAAGGATAGAAGGCTGAATCAACCTTGAGCTGCTACCTGGGATTGAACCCCAGGTCGTGAGCACAGTTGTGGCTGCAGTACAGCGGTTTAACCACTGCGCCATGATCAACCATGGTATCCTTCTGGACCAGCTCTCTGGAATACAACTCCTGGATCCTTCCTGGATGACCAAATTTAGAAGGTGGTGCTGAGGGACTCAGGTTCGCTGTCCTGGCTTGTTAGCTTGTGGCGTAACCCAGGTTTCTGCTTTGTCTCCCATGCTTTTTAACATATATAGAAACTGTTGGGAGAGGCTGTCTAGAGTTCTGGGGTTCTGGATCACAAGTATGCTGATGACACCCAACTCTATCCCTCCTTTCTATCTAATTCGAAGGACGTTGTCTTGGTTCTAAACCAGTGCCTTATGTCAGTAATAGGCTGGATTAGGGCAAACATACTGAAACTTAATACAGACAAGACAGAAGGCGTTCATGGTCAGCTGGAAGACAGATGAGAGCATAAAAGTGCAACCTTGTGTACACTCCCCCTGACAACCCAGGTCTGCAGCTAGGCTGTGCTCCTGGATTCATTCATGAGCCTGGATGTCAAGGTTTCAAAGGTGGCCAGGAATGCACTTGCAGTTAAAACTGGTGTGCCGACTGCACCCATTCCTTGAGATGTCCAATTTGGCTACATACTTTAGTTACAACCCGCTTGGATTACTGTAACACCCTCTATGTGGGATTGCCTTTGAAAATGGTTCAGAAACCAGCTGGTTCAAAATGCAACTTCCATACAGGTAACTTTGGCCAGTTGTAATGCCCTTGCTACAACAACTGCACTTGCCACCAGTCTGTTTCCTGGCTCAATGCAAAGGGCCAGTCATTACCTGTAAAGCCCTATATAGTTTGGGTCCAGGCTACCTGAAGGACGGACTCTCCCCATATGAATCTTCTTGGCCCTTAAGACCATCAGAGGAGGCCCTGCTCACAGTCCCATTGCCGTGTATAATTTATTGTGTGTTTATTTCTATTGTTTAACACAGTGAGTTGCCTTGAGTCCCTCAATGGGAGAAAGATGGCCTACAAATGAGACAAATAAATAAAAACAAAATAGATGTTTGCTTTCATTTATTTATATGCTAATCCTCCCTGGGGTGGGAATGTGGCTACTTCAGTTCTTGCATGCATTGTGGCCAGTAAACTGAGTATCCAGCTCGTTGGAGGGAGGCAATGTGTAGCCTGCGTAAATAAATTTGAAAATGCCCAGAGAGTGCTTTAAGCACCATAGAGAGGTAGATAAGCAGCACGCTTTGCTTTTTCTTTCTCTTTTGGAGTATAATAGTCTTTATATAATTCCCTTCCTGTGTAACCATCAGCTAACCACCCAGAGAGTGCTTGAAGCGCTATGGGGCAGTATATAAGCAGCACACTTTTTTTTTGCTTTTGCTATCTGTACTCTGGAGGACTGAGTAGGATGTCTATCTGGTTGACTTAAACCTGCTGATCACATAGCATTGAAGCATTCATTATTCACAGCAGATGGTTGTCTACTTTTAAAAGCAAGAGGTGGTAAAAATAAATTCTGTTTCCATTGCTTTGGACAGAAAGCAAATATGACTAATGGAGAATAGATAAGGCAGTGACCTACCTCAAGAATAGATGTCTGGATCTGTAAGATTTGTTCATGGCCTTTGACTTGTCTGACACAGATTTTACATGAGAGTTGTGTGGTGGCAGGAGTGTAACGCTCCAGAGAAAAGGCACAGTGGAGTGGCCGCTGGTTGCTACGCCACACACGAGAGAAGGGAACTTCCTATGAGGAAAGAAATGCAGGAGAGAGGAAATACTTCAATACAAAAACAAATGCAAGTAAGTAATAACCACCAATGATAAAATAGGTTTTGGAATTAATATATGAATGCTGGAAGGAATAAAAATAGATGTATCCATCCAATGGACAAGTGGCCTAACACTATATTATGCCCCGGGGACACAGGATATTAAGATAGTGGGACACATCTCTTCCACTTCCTATAATGTTTGCATTTTTCCCAAGCACATGTTTATGACATTCAACTTCTGCATCAGTTTATACGCTGCTTTTTAATTTTTTTAAAAAAAAACCCAGCAATCTAATGCATTTTCACCAGCAAAGCAATTCATAATCATTTGTATCTAATTTTTCTTTAATCTATCAATTTTTGCACACTAAATGTGGACAAGAACCAAAGAACAAGAAGACTCTGTCTCCTACCTTTCCTTATGTGCACCAGTGATGGATGAATCTGTTGGCTTCCGTTGCTAATTTTCCCCTTTTAAATACTTGTTTTATCCCACTTATGCATCAATTTGCTGTTTTAAAAATGTCTACACAATATTTGGCTGTGTATTCAATGTACATTTTCCTACTTTTTACGCTCCCCAGAGGCACCTGATTTGGCCACTAAAGAAACAGGATGGGCCTTCAGTCTTTTTTCAGAAGGGGAATTCTTATATACTTTTCCAACCAGCTTTAGACAGCCCCAAGTTCATTTTCCAAAAATATGGAGTCTGACAACACCATCAGCAAGTTTTGTCTCCCAGAACAAAAACTTCTCAATATTTTCATTAAGTAAGGCATACTGCTATTTCACCATATCCTCCGTGAATTACTTAAACTGCTGTGTAAGATTATATAGGGCATTAATGACCTGCTTTTCTGTCCTGTGTTTAAGAATTGTGTTCATTAAAACAATGTGACTATATTCCCATGGAGTTTCAGTAGAGCCCTTAATGCCTTAATGGTTGAAGTCCATAAACATAATTAATAGCCATCAGGTTTTGCCTTCATCTGCCAGTTCCACAGGAACAAGATAGCATGTTTGCTTTAAAATAACAATTTGTGCATCTGCTCACATGGTGCAAAATGCTTACTCACAATGAAGCAGTAGGGAATGGCCAGGAAGAAAAGTGAAAGAGCAAAGATATGTCAAAAGACCGTAGCAGAGTTTAGGCAACATCATTCCATGCAATGCCAAAATGTGCAGGGGAAGATTCTTCGGGAACACATAGTAGCCACCTGGGAACACATAGTAGCCAAGGCCCTTGCCATCTTTAAATGCCAGCATCTAGCCATTGTGTGAAGAGCCCATACTTACCTAGGAGCCTCATGGCACAGTGGTTAAACCGCAGTACTGCAGTGAAAACTCTACCCGTGACCTGTGTTCAATCCCAGAGGATTCAGGTACTAGCTCAAGGTTGACTCAGCTTTCAATCCTGCCAAGGCTGTTAAATTGAATACCTAGCTCACTTGGGGGGGTGGGTGGAATATGTAGCCTGCATCATTAAACTGTAAGCCATCTAGAGAGTGCTTTAAGCACTATAGACTTTTCTGCCTTCATGCAAATGAAACAAGCTCAGCTGCATGCTGCCCAGATGTATAGAACAGTGTACAGATATTCAAGGGGAACATGCTGCTTGCTTCAATGGCTAGAGGTATCCTGCCATCAGCCGCCCTGCAAGATCCATTTTGTTTGCTGCAGTGAGCAGGAGTCAGTGCTGATGTTGCCCGAATATGTAAGCAACTATAAGAATTGAATCTATGGGGTGTTTTCCCCCCTCGTACCTGACCTTCCTGCCTGCTTTTCCTTAACATTTCTGCACCTTTGCCTTTATTAAATTTGGACTCTCTTAATCTGATTTTTTACAGTCTTGCAACTGTGGGCAGACTCTATTTTTCTGGGATACAAGCCAAAAAATTCAGTGAGTCATTCACAGATGCAGAAACTTTTTATAACTTTGTTGAAATTTAAAGTTAATTCTTTTCAACACTTATGTCATTATTTTACAATTGTAATTACTGTGTTTTAGTAATATGTGCACAAGTATTAAGCCTTCTAGTGAACTAAACATCACTTTTCTGTTTCTTTAGCAGAGCTGAAACATTTGATCATTATCTGATAATCTCTAATAATCTATGTAAATAAATAAATGTCCCTAGCTTGTCAATGGGAATGTAATATTGTAGTGAAAATACCATTGTTCAACTCACATACCTCAGGTTAAACTGACCTGAATTGACATTTTGCTTTTGAATTATTTGAATGATGCTTTCTGAACTATTAGCTGTAATTTATAGGGCCCTGAATCATAGGATGTTGGACTATTCAACAACCAATCAACAAATGATTTTCAATGAAGGTGAAATTATTGCTGCATGAGAGTTTAGCAATTAACTTCTGTTGGTAGAGCAAAACAGCACTCTGTAAGGCAATTATAAAAATGGGGCAGCCCAGCCAAATTTTTTTAACTTTGATACAGGGCTTCAGATCATCATCAAATCTGGTATTGCTGTAGCAGTCTTCTTTTTCTATGTGACAAACTTGGGGAAGTTTGGCTACAAGGTTTTCAACTGTTTTAGCCTTCCAACTCTTATAAATTGTGAAGATCAATCCTGCTTAGCTTGAAAGAGGATGGTTGGTCTACCTGCTTTTTTTTTAATTTGAAAAGAATCCAGGCTGTGCTGTCTGAAATATCTGTTTTCAAAAGAAGCCTTTCAAAAGGAAGAAACAGTGATTTCTTACACAGAGCATGGAACAGGCATTCTAGAAATAACTTTGCAAAATTGAAACATTGTTGCAGCTTCTTGGGTGGGAAGGGAGATATTTAGGAAGTTTAACACATAAAAAAAGAGTTAAAAAAGCAGCTTTTTTGTAGAGTCAAGGAACCAGGCTTGATTTAGAGAAAGTAATGGAGTGACAGTACTCCAGAAAAGGGGACATTTTGCCACATGCCTCCAGGGAATTACCGTACAATATTTCAAGGCATATTCAAAGTATTTCTGCATTACTGTACAATATTTCGAGGCATATTCAAAGTATTTCTGCACAGAACAGTTATATATGGTTGTCCCAGCCCTGAATGCTTTCAGTAAACATTCTTTAAGGATTTCTGGGTCCAGACTCCTAACACAAGTGTTCAAAGGTCTCTGGCAATCTGAAATTTTTAAAATGGCAATTAGGAGCCAATTGAACTTTAACTCTTTCCTGACCATGCAGAGATTGGTACATGCAAAGGATAGTAAAATATTTTAAATATTTACAAAAGTATTATAAAAAGAGTCATTTAGAGATATCCTGTAAGCCAGTGGTCCCCAACCTTGGGCTTCCAGATGTTCTTAGACTTCAACTCCCAGAAATCCTGGCCAGCAGAGGTGGTGGTGAAGGCTTCTGGGAGTTGTAGTCCAAGAACATCTGGAGGCCCAAGGTTGGGGACCACTGCTGTAAGCCATCTTGACACCATTGGTGTTATTGACATTGAGACTGTCCTTTGTTATATAAAGCTTGGCATCTTTTTTCCTGCTGGAATCCCAGGCACATATTGTGCAGTAATATTGGTTCATTTCCTGGCAGCTTGAATCATGCATACAAAAGCAAAATGTACTACATTATTAAAATGGAAACATTTTGAAGAACTGAACAACATATTTGGCTATTAAAAGAAATGGATTGCATCGAATTTCCATCTCAGCAATGTGATGTGTAAGAAAAAGCCCAAATACTGCTCACAGGCTATATATTTATATGTAAAACCTACGTGGCAACTGTTGAACCACAATCAGAAATAATTTGGGGCTTTGGGGTTGCATGTGAATTAAATGGGAAAGTACTACCTTGAGGAACTAGCGTGCAAATACCTGACATGCAGTGAATGGTTTGATTCTCCAGAGGAAAGGGGGGATATCAAGGACAGAGATCTGAAGACTGAAGGTATTCCCTTTGAAATGCAACAGCTTCGGTTCTTCTAGCAGCTTCCCCCCTTGTTGTCTTTCATCCAAAATCACCTCCTGTGGAAGCAAACAAACGATATGAATTCCTACAGTTTTATTCTGCCCAAACAAAAACTCCGGGCCAGTTTGACCAGAGAGAGAGCTTCTAAATTAAAAGCAGAACTGACTTACACAGTAAAGTATATGTAATATTTTTCACAGCTTGACAAATTGCAAATTAGCTAGCTTTTGTTTGGTAGATGGCAATATGAATGAAACAACAGACTGTGGACTGTGAAATAGAGCAGCTGTGAAGAATTTTATCTCTACTGTGATAAAATGTTATTACTGCCTGATTCCTAATTAGGTTCCTAATTGTGAAGCTACCTGTTCATTTTGGCTTTCAAGCTCCCAGACATTTTCTGAAACCACCACTGTGTTTCCTCAGAAAACAGTGGTTGGTTCTTTATAGCAAGGCAAAAAAAAGTTACATACATTTCTAGATGCAAGTAATAATAATAATAATAAAACTATAGAATAATGAAGTTGTAAAGGGCCTATACGTCCATTGACTTCAACCTCCTGATCAGTGCAGGGAAATAAATCAAAGTAGACCTGACTGATAGTTGTATATTTTTCCTTCAATATCTCCAATGTTGGACTGCTCACCACTTTCCAGGGTAATTGTTCCATTGTCATACTGTTCTAACAGTTAGGATTCTTTTAACCTGATATTCCATGATCTTGACTCCCAGCATAAGGCAGGATTTTAATAGGGTTCTCCCTAGAAATATAGAATAATAGAATCACAGAAAAGTAAAATTGGAAGGGGCCTGCAAGGTCATCAAGTCCAACCCCCTGCTCAACACAGGAATGCAATCAAAAGCATATCTGCCAGTTGATTATCCAGGTTTTTCTTGAGTGTCTCCAGTGTTGGAGCACTCACCAACTCCTGAGGTAATAGGTTCCACTGTCGTACTGCTCTAACAGTTAGGAAGTTTTTCCTGATACTCAGATGAAATCTGACTTCCTTTAACTTAAGCCCATTGTTGCATGTCGTGTACTCTGGGATGATCAAGAACAGATCTTGTCCCTCCTCTGTATGACAGCCTTTCAAATTTTTGAAAAGTACTATCATATCACCTCTCCATCTTCTTTTCTCAAGGCTAAACTTGCCCAATTATTTCAGCGTGTCCTCATAAGGCTTGGTTTCCAGCCCCCTGATCATCTTTGTTGCCCTCCTCTGAACTTGTTCCAATTTGTTAGCATCCTTCTTGAAGTGTGGTGTCCAGAACTGGATACAATACTCGAGGTGAGGCCTAACCAGTGCTGAATAGAGGGGGGCTAGCACCTCGCAGGATTTGGAAATGATACTTCTATTAATGCAGCTTAAAATAGCATTTGCCTTTTTTGTAGTCACATCACACTGTTGGCTCATATTTAGCTTGTGATCTACGATAATTCCAAGATCCTTCTCACTCATTCTGTTGCTTTCAACCCAGTGCTCCATCCTATCAAGGTCATTTTGAATTTTGTTTCTGTCTTCTAGGGCAGTGGTCTCCAACCTTGGGCCTCCAGATGTTTTTGGACTTCAACTCCCAGAAATCTTGGCCAGACGAAGTGGTGGTGAAGGCTTCTGGGAGTTGTGGTCCAAAAACATCTGGAGGCCCAAGGTTGGGGACCACTGTTCTAGGGTATTAGCTATTCCACCCAATTTTGCATTGTCTGCAAATCTGACAAGCATTCCCTCCACCCCCCTCATCCAAGTCATTAATAAAAATATTGAAGAGCACTGGCTCAGGACTGAGCCTTGAGGGAGAGAGAGAGAGAGAGAGAGAGAGAGAGAGAGAGGTACCTAAAAGAATATCATGGTCAATCATATCAAACAACATAGATAAGTCCTTGAGAACCAACAATGAGAGACTCTGCTGGTTCTGTTTCTATGAGTAAGCCTGGTTCCAAAATTAGGCCTGAAACTCAGCTGAAAAGAATCTAGAACACCGGTTTTATCCATGGGCATCTGAAGTTGATCCTTTAAATCCAGTTGCTTTTAAATGCTCAGTCCAATTAAAGTCCAGCTTTAAACCTGGGATTTAATGTAATCCAGAAAGTCCCTCTGACATCTGGAAGCTTCAGTGGGCTCTTGTAAAAGGGCTAATAAACACCAGTTAGTTGTGACTATCAGCCAAGGAGATTGGCACACAAAAGATTCTGATAAGTAGTGAAGGAAATCCACAGAAGGGTCCATCTAGATAGGTATTCAGATCAGCTCTGTGGACAGAATTCAGTTCTCTGTCTCACAAATACAGCATGATTTTACCCTGAATTAGAAAAACTGAAAGAATTTTTACTGATTTTATTTTACTGCATTTTGATTTTAAATAAATAACAACCAAGCAAATAAGAAATAATTAGGAACATGTAGCTCTCCATATTATACACGGTGCACAAAATATAGCCAAAGTCATGATAAGGGCAAATGCAGACCAGCACCATTGGGGAAGAGGCACCCCTACCCTCATCTATTTCCACAGCATTAATCTACGTATTCTTAAATGCATTGGGTGTTATTCTCACTTTTCAGTCAGATTTATTTACAAGCAAACTTCCTTGTTTCAGGTTCCAAATTATTTAATTCTATGGTCTGCAAACACTCCAGAGGGTATCTTGAGTCCTGTCTCCCACCTCCACCCCTTTTTTTGCACTGAAAGTCTGAAATCTCTCACATGTGTTTATATGTGCTACTAATACTTAGCTACATTGCTTTCCCATCCCTTCTCCAGAGACCTTAGGGGATCAGAGAGAGTCTCCTTACCTCATTTTATCCTCACAACTATTCTGTCAAATAGGCCAAGTCAAGATACAGTAACTGGCCCAAGGTCATCCAGTAATCATCTTGGCTTGAACAATAATTTGTCTTGATCTCCTTAACTCCAGTTGGACACACTAACTATCAAAAACACTGCTTCCTTCCCAAATATTTGATGTTAAGAGAAAAGGATATTGGATTCTTCCTTTCAGGTATCTAGTTAGGGCAAAATAGTCTTTCACACAATCACTCAGAGTGGCTCCCTAGTTTTGAGATTATGAATAGACCTAAGCAAATGAAAAAGTGGGAGTAAAAATGCCAAAAACTTTTAAAAAAAAACAAACTAGAACTATTGGAGGCCCATTGACAACTGCATTAATCTTTATAGAATGGGTCTTCCTCCATGTGCATAGTTTTGTTGTTGTTGTTTGTTTGTTTGTTTTTGTTTTTTGGTCAACAATCCAGCATGAAGAAGAGTTCTAAGGAACCTGAAAGATTGCTCATAACCTTGATGGAACATATTATATAAGTCTAAAACCCCTATATTACATCTGCCTCCTGAGCCATTAACATCTGTCCCCAAATATTATATAGGAGAAGCAGTGGACTGGACAAAGAGTAGAAGAAAAATCATATTTTAAGTTGAATTATGCAAAAGCATAATTATAAATAGATGTTCTGTAGATGCACTATTCAGGCATCATAGCCTGAAAATGATGGAAATATCAGCATGAATGTACATCCCACTCCTTGCGCTCCTCCATCCAGATATCAATCAGAGTCTAGAGCATTCAGTGTAAAGCTATGAAAAAAATGCTTGTAAGTATGACAGGGCATGGCTTCTGAGATCCAGCAGGGCTTCTGATCACAGAGAAGCTGTAAGCACATTGAACCAAATGTACTTACAAATGCCTCTTCAAGCCATCATGCTGAATGCCTGATGGCCTGACTGACATCTAGGTGAAGAGATGTTCGGAGAGAGGCTTAAAGGTGTGCCTCCTGTCCTCACCCTGACGAGGAGAAGCCTGCTTTCAGTAAAATATCTGAATATGTTTTGTGTCTATGCTTTTTCTGTCTTGTTGCATGTCCTCAGGTGTTGTTCTTTTATTTCTTTTTGTTTCTTCCCAATATTTATGCTAGGGCAGAGAAATGCCACAGAGTAAATTTTGAAAAGGAAAAACATAGCTTTGCCACATACCTGAAATGCACAGGGAGTGTTGTCTATGCAGTAGACTCTTAGACTGTAATCCAGTGAGTTGCAGAACATACAGCCAAAAACGACTACTTTCAGTTCCTTAACAGAACAATCAGAGAGGGGGGCTCCAGTGAGAGCGTAAGTCCCAAAAGAGTCCAGGAGAATATGGCAGGCATATGGGTCCAAAAGGCAGTAACAGGAAGTAGATTCCTCTTCCACAGACATAACGTCCTGTATTCATATGGGAGACAGAGAGAAAAAGGTGACGGGTGGTGATTTTTCAAATATATACGGTTGCATTTTAGTAAGTTAGTTTCATATTTTTTAATTAGTTTGGAATATGACATATAGATATAGATTGCTTAATAAATGAGGTTTAAAGCATCTAAATGCACTCCAAATAAGTGTATATACAGGATACCAAGAGGACATGGTTAACCATTTAAATGTTTGCAAGATCTTTAGAAGATCTTGCAAAATTACTGTGGCCCCAAAAATAATCTTGTTGCACTTTAAGCTGGAAGATGAAGACCAAAAATAAAGAAGTAAAGCCTTCCTTCCTCTAATAGAGGAATACAATTTCTATGGCAGAGAGGGAACCTTGGATCATGCCAGTGTTTCTAAATCTCCTGCTCTGTTTTCAACAACAGCCTGGCACACTGACATAAACCGTTTCCTAGTTGTGATGGTGCCTGTTCATATATTTTCAACTCTTCTTATTTTGGAATCTCTGTCATCAGAAATAGATTGCGAATGGAGCCTAGCTACCTTGGAATGGGCAACTAATTCAAGAAAACTTCATACATTTCCATAATCAGCCCAAATTCAAAATAACTGGGAATAAGCCTAGAAATGATGTAGTGCTCTCTCTCGCTCTCTCTCTCACACACACTATCTCTGTTATTCTAAAGACACACTGTGCCACTCGGCAATGTTTTTTTTTTAAAAGTGAATTTTGGTTTCTTGGCCACCGTTTATACCATATGTGATTTGACAGGAGGAAGAAAGCTTCAGAAGACAGAAAGAGTAACATCGGGCATGTTTTCAGTAAAGAAAAGAGCAAAACAAGAAAACAAATTGTAGTCATCATCATAGTCATGAAGGGGCCTATAAGGCTATCAAGTCCAACCCCCTGCTCAATGCTGCTCAAAGCAGATTCAATAGATGGTTGTCCACTTTTCTTTCGAATGCCTCCAGCGCTGGAGTGCTCACTACCTCCCAGAGCACAGTAGTTGGTTCTATTGTCATACACCTTTAACAATTAGGAATTATTTAAGAAGTTTTTGGTCATATTCAGCCCAAATCTGGCTTCCTGTAGCTTGAGCACATTATTATATGCCCTTTACTCTAGGATGTTCAAGAACAGATCATGGCCCTTTCAAGTATTTGAAAAATGCTATCATTGTCTCCCTTCAGTCTTCTTTTCTCAAGACTAACATCCCCAGTTCTTTCAGTCTTTCCTCATATGGTTTGGTTTCCAGTCCCTTCATCATTCTTGTTTCCTTCCTCTGAAGTCACTCCAGTTTGTTGGCATTCTTCTTAAAGTAAAGTGTGGTGTCCAGAAGTGGACACAATAGTCTAGATGAGACCTAACGAGCACTGGAGACATTATTTATTCTGTCTCTTAAAATAAGGCTATAGTGTTGCTGAAATACAGTGAAGAGGTATGTTGGTTTTGTCTGTCAAGTCAAGAGCTACTCCAAGAGTTGAAGCACTGTATCAAGTTACAGAGGGCAATAATGAGCAGTGGATTTGTTTTTCACCTCCAAATCCAGTAAACTGCATGATCCTATGTGTGCTTACTCAGAAAAAGGTTATGCTAATTACAGTATGAACAACTTTGAGCTATGTTTTGCAGCTAAAGTATTTAAAACAATGCAGATCAACATATTACATTGTACCATATCAGGCGAAAACAAAAGAAAAATGAAAAATAAAGAAGACAAAAACATTGTGGTACCTTAAAAACTAATGGCTATATTTTTATTTATTTATTTATTTATTTATTTATTTATTTATTTATTTATTTATTTATTTATTTATTTATTTATTTAAAAGCAATTGCCAGAGCTCTTTTTCAACAAGTGTAAATGATGGTGAGCACAAGAAGGTGAGCACAGTGGTCCCCAACCTTGGGCCTCCAGAGGTTCTTGGACTTCAACTCCCAGAAATCCTAGCCAGCAGAGGTGGTGGTGAAGGTTTCTGGGAGCTGTAGTTCAAGAACATCTGGAGGCCCAAGGTTGGGGACCACTAATGTAGACTATCTTGACTATTGCCATTGGTGTTGTTAACATTCAGGCTGCCCTTTGCTAAGGTTGCCATGCACGTTTCTTAGAATGCAGACAACAAAGCTATGTTCCCATTTCCAGACCCTTTCCTTGATTTAGACATCCTGAGGAAGGAGCTATATTGGACCAAAATATATGTCAAAACAAGCACTTTGAATTGGGCCCGGGCAGCAACTGGTAACCAATGTAACTTATACAGAATTGGCTTGATATGTTCCCTGGTGGCCGCACCACTCACCAGCCACGCCCAATTCAAAGTGCTTGTTTTGACATATATTTTGGTCCAATATAGCTCCTTCCTCAGGATGTCTAAATCAAGGAAAGGGTCTGGAAATGGGAACATAGCTTTGTTGTCTGCATTCTAAGAAACGTGCATGGCAACCTTAGCAAAGGGCAGCCTGAATGTTAACAACACCAATGGCAATAGTCAAGATAGTCTACATTAGTGGTCCCCAACCTTGGGCCTCCAGATGTTCTTGAACTACAGCTCCCAGAAACCTTCACCACCACCTCTGCTGGCTAGGATTTCTGGGAGTTGAAGTCCAAGAACCTCTGGAGGCCCAAGGTTGGGGACCACTGTGCTCACCTTCTTGTGCTCACCATCATTTACACTTGTTGAAAAAGAGCTCTGGCAATTGCTTTGTGGTTTGATGAACAGTGGTTAACTGATGACTTGTTTATTGTCACTTTGTGAATGGTAGCGAGCATCAGAAGGTATCCTGTAGAGTTAACTATATTGACTGCTGTCATTGATATTATCAACATCCACACTGCCTTTTGCTATGTAAAGTTTGGCATCTTTTTTTTCTGCTGGCAATGTGTCCCTTATATTGTGCAGCAATATTGGTCCATTTCCTGGAGTTTTCAATTGTGGGTACAGAAGCACAGTATCTCACATTCATAAACTGGAGGCTTTTTGAAGAACTGAATTCTTTTAAATTCTACTGTGCCTACTTTCACAGAGAATTTACAATATGGAAATCGAGTCATTACAAAAATGTTTAATGAAATGACAAATGGCAAATTAATAGAATAACCAATAGAATGTATTTTCATTCTGTTTCCCTCATACACATCTAAAAAGACTCCTGCCCTGTTCTGTCAGTTTTTATCTCTACTAGGAGTACAGTGTATAGAGATAGAAATTTTTACATGCTTTCTTATATGTGGGATGAAAACATTCCACTGGGCAAAATTTATAGAGCTTTTGTGCATTTTTGTGCATTTCTAGATTCTTGTAAACAATTGTAAAGAGGTGTGGGTTTTTTGCCCCAGAAACTGCATTTTGAGTACAGAAATATAGAATATAAGCTTTATTCGGTATAAAAGGTTATTAGTGAAAAATATCACATACACAGATTTTTGTGCAAAAAGTATTTTGTTTCTTTTGCTAACACTGAAGATAAACAGGCTGATTTTTGTTTATTCTTATGGCAGAATTAAAGAAATTCCTAGCCATTGAAAGTGTCTCAATGGGTCAAGATTACACAATTTCCTTGAAGATGAGAAAAAACACTAAAATTCTGTTGTGCTTTTCCTAGGTCCTAGTTGTGATGGTGCCTGTTCATGTATTTTTCCTTGATGATGAGGAAAAACACTAAAATCCTGTTGTGCAGTTAAACAAAAGGCATAATGTTTAGAAGTGAATTGCCATAAATTAAGAAATCTCTGTAGACCTTATCTGTTTCACAATTTGGCATGCAACAGAGTCTATGGAGATTTTTTAATTTATGGCAGTTCACTTCCAACTGTGCGTAACTGTGCAACAGGATTTGGTCATTATAACCTTAGTGAAGGATGTTCTTCTGAAAGGGAGAGCATTTTTTCAAATATATAAACCTTCCATATGACTTTGAACACTTGGTACGAACTAGGGTCTGAAATCATATTTGAAATCTATATAGAAAGTCCAGTCTCTGGATGTATGAATCTGTCTGTTTTAGCATATGTTTTTTTTGTTTTTAACTAGCAAGGTCATCTTGTTACTAACATGAAAAACCAAATAAAAATGAAAATTCTCCCCAAGTCCTACACCATACTATAACATTTTGACATCCATCCTCAGATATGTTTCCCCTCCCAGAGGTCAAAACCTATTATTATCCTAGCAAGCAGTATCATCCATGTTTCACTTTGTTATTTCTATCTTTTTGTTCATCTCTCCCTAAAGAGCATTTCACTTACCTCCCATTTGCCCTGTTTTTTTTCCTTTTTCAGGTGGATGTTCCAGTGTTCAGAGTTCACTTGTGCACAGTGTGGGATCGTCAAGGCAAATGGAGTAGAGACGGTCACTTCAGGAGGACCACAAGTTACTTCTGGACCAAGGAGGATTTCACTGCCTTCTGAATGAAAACTTTAGGTTGAGAGAGAGGAAGAAGGAAGATTACAAAGGAAAGGTCAAGACCATAAAACGTTGTTCTAGGAGCAAATGTGAAAGCTTCGTGAACATTAGTTAATCTCCTTGATTGCTAAAGTAGAATTTATGTTTGCTCAGTAATAGCATCTAAATATTGAAAACATCTTGTACCAAAATCCCATCATTGCCTCCATCTGTTCCAGAGATGGATATATATCAAAACTGAAGGGATGCTGAACTGTGTAGTGGTTGCCATTATGGGTGCAAAAAAAGAAAGGGTAAAATGAACTCCTACTCATGGGCTTTTTGTGTTTCAGTGAAAGGATGGGAAATATGAAAGAGGCACTTTTTTCATTTTTATGTTGCTTGTGGTTTCCCAAAAGAAAGATTTTTAAAACACAATGGATTCATATTAACACAAGAGGCATACACAGAAGTTTCATGTTCTTATGTGTTCCCTTCTTTTATCTAACCTTTCTCTCACCCTTGTTTGTCATATAACCTGGAATTATTTTTTCATCTAATAGTATCATGAGGGCTGTTTCAGCTGCCAGTCAGAGCATCCAGGAGGTAGAGAGAATAAGCTTTGAATCTGCAAAAGAGCCAAGATTGGTTGAAACCCATGAGTGCTCCTTATGGGTAAGAGTATGTCATGCCTTCTCGGTGGTGGCTCCTCGCCTCTGGAATAACCTTCCCCCTGACATTCGCGCGGCTCCCTCGCTGGGTATTTTAAAAAATCAATTAAAAACACTGATGTTTTGGCGAGCCTTCCCCTCAGCCAACTCCTAATCTTCCCTCTTTTTCCTCTTTCTTAGTGTTTGTCCCATCTTGTCTAAAGTTTTTCCCCTATTTAAAATTGTTTTAATATATTGTATTGTGCTTGCTGTAAGCCGCCTAGAGTGGACTCAATGAGACTAGATAGGCGGGATATAAAATAAATAAATAAATAAATAAACAAATAAATAAATAAATAAATAAATAAACAAACAAACAAACAAATAAATACATAAATATAAATAAATGCTGTTGAGATCCTGCTGCCCTCCACTTTGGATTGGCCTGCCTGCCTGCCTGCCTGCCTCTATGGCTCCATCTTGGATACTTTTCTTTTTTGTCTTTCCCCCTTCATTTTGGGGAGATATTTTTTACATTTATTTGCATTATTTCTGCCGTTGACTGCCAGTCCTGCCTTCTGGACTCAAGGAAGAGAAAACAAGAGAAGCATCAATTTTCTTTATTTATTGATTCCACTTCTATATGATCCCGCTAGTATTAGTGATACCAAGGAAAGATGAAACTACATTTTAGAACTGAGAATACATTGAGAGAAAGACCAGGCCTCAAAAGACGTAACCTTGAAACATTCACACCTAGCTTAGAAGTATTTATGGCTGACACAGAATAACAATGTAACTCTTCTTCTCTGCCTATCCACCGTTTTGATGTAATAAATGGCCCATCATTGGAATGCTTGTAGGAGGAAGCCGACAAGTAACATTCACAAGAGTCACAGTATTGATGGGCCCAGAAAGAAAACACATAAACATACCAAATAGATAAGGGAAATGGATACTCTTGTCCCCAGACTTTCAGGCACATCTAGGGCCCTGGTCAAGGAGAGATGGGGGCACAATATGCCTAACAACATGTAACCAATAGATTAGCGTAGTTGGCATCAATTACCCAATGAGGGACTGGATCCAAAGTTGGGGTACAATACAATTGAATTATAGCATTTGAAAGCTCTTTGTCTGTATCTGCTTTTAAGGGAAATCCCAGCTGACCTTTCTTGTTCTTTGCTCTTTAAAATAAAAATCGGACCTTTGGTTCAGCTGTTAGAAAAAGTAGAACAAACTACGCCTGATTCCTTGCCAGAAAACTGAAACCCAAATCTGGCCGGTAACATCATCACTCTCTGGGCAGTGATATTGTATATTCACAACATACAATAAAGTCATACAATAAAAAACCTGTGTAATAAATACAATACAAATACAATAAAGTCCAATATGTCCTGGTGCTAGCTAAAACAAAGGAACTACCTTAAATAAGAATACGGAACTTAAAACCCATTTGAGTGTCTCAGATCAATTCACCTCTAGTAGAAGAAAGATATAACTCAGCTTTAATTAGCTTCCTAAAAACTGGTAGAAGGGAGACAAATTTCCCTTTATTCTAGTAGCTTTGACTGAGGGGGGAGGAGGGCCTTGGCTCTATTTTTAAACTATTTTTATTTGCTTGCTTGCTTTCCTTGGTTTCTGGGACAGAAAGTTATGTGTGTCTGTTCCTTTGCTATTTCTTTTCCTTTGTTTCTGTTTGTGTTCCCTGGCCTGGCTGACTGGCTGCTTCCTTCACTCTTTTCTATTCTGCTGCCCTGGCCCAGACCATCTCTGTTGTGATAGGTGGGTGGCACTGAAATCATACTGTTGTTTTCTCTTTTTCTAATTTTTGGGTCCTTTACTCTTTTTTTGCATTGATGGGGGGGGGGGGGATGAAGTATTTTTTGCTCTATTCATAGAACTGGTAGGAGTATCTTGGCTGTATCTTTGTGTGGCCTCCGGTGGTGGTTTGCAGTGGGAGGTAGGGCACTGCCAGAAGCTTTCTCTATAAACTACTGCCTGCATAAGTCTGGGGATCATCTTTCTTTCTCATGCAATGTTCCCTGCTTTTGGAATAGGATAATTCTCTATTGCCTCGACTCTCTGCATTTTTGAATTATTTTTTTAAGAGTTCTGGTTTTCAGGATCCTAGAAATCTTCTTTCACGAAGAGGGAACCCAAAATGAAAGAGCCAGAAAAAGCTTCTCCTTTTGTGTTCAACCCAAAATGAAAGAAACACATTTTTGTTGTTGTAGAAATCTCTACAAAATCCTTCTCTCAGAGCTGCTGAATGTAGCCAGCAGCCATAATCCACAAGAAACAAAAAAGGCATCAGCAGTTTCAGGTCTGCACAATCTCGCTGAGGAGAAAAGAAAAGAAAATCAGAGTCAAGTCATCACAGACTTCATTCTGAACAATTCATGTTCAAAACACATGATATCCTTCCTTGTCTTCCTTTGTCCAGCAAAGCAAGGCAAAACAAACAAACAAAGAAAAATCCCTTCTGAAGTCTGACAACTAATCAGAAATCCACTAGATGACATGCAAAATGATGAAGGGGAATTTTTTTCCCTCCATTACACAAGAACATAAGAAGAGCCCTGCTGGATCAGGCCAAGGGCCCATCTAGTCCGGCTTCCTGTATCTCACCGTGGCCCCACCAGATGCCTTTGGGAGCACACGAGACAATTGCATGCCTGTCTCCTGATACCCCTCCCTTGCATCTGGCATTTTGAGGTACCTCCCTTTAAAGCCTGGAGATTCTACATCCCAATCATGGCTTGTAACCTGTGAAAGACTTTTCCTCCAGGAATTTGTTCAATCCCCTATGTTGTTGTTCTGTTGCATAGATTTTTAAGGTTGAAAAACATCACAGCAGCTGCTTTTTAAATAATAAACCAGTTTGTGTTTGGGGCAGTGTGTATGTGTGTATGCACTCATGCTCTGCTTCTAGAAGAGTAGTACACTATTTTTTGCACAGAGGCAGATCACACAAATCATGAGGAAAATGAAAATTCCTCACTGAGGTGTCTCATCTAGTTCAGACAGTATAAATCAATGGGAATGAAAAATTCAGTAAATATCCTTTCAGGTCTACAAGCTATATTAATGTAATTTGGTAATGACCGTTCTGCGCTGCAATAAAATATGGTGTTTGTACTTTTGGCTAGCAATATGCCAGGAAAAAATATAGTTGTTCTACTACCTTATTACTATTTCAAAAGAAGTTTCATTAGTACATGAAATTGCAGGAAATATATTCCATGGTGTTTTAATGTCCCTGCACATGCATCTCCATATATGTGCACCAGAGGACAGATTCATCTGCTACCTGTGCTGGAGAACAAAGTGTAAGAGTAGCAAATATAACTACTCGCACTAGGACCATTTTCAACAAGGCATTCCCCTATCAAAAATAGGATGATGGTTGACAAAAACAGGCCCTAGAAAATAAGGACTGCCCTTGATAAAACAGAGGCATCTGGAACATATGCTTTAGGCATGTGCTCAGACCTCTTTGGGTCAAAATAAAATAGTCATTTTAACTACATTTCTTTGAAAGTGATAGAGTGTGAAGCTAATATATTTGCCCTGTTTCTTCTGTAAATCCACACACATCCATAACCTCCTGACCTCCCACGGAAGAAACAGGTGTTCATATTTTTGCAATACTGAGGTGTAAAAATGATTACAAATGCACTCAGAACCACACACTGTTCACATTATGGAAGTAAGATTTGGCCATTCTAAAACTAGACCCTTTTACCCCCTAATATGCCTGAATATAAAATTAAATCTGTATCCAGTAGACCCAAATAATCCATCAGATGCTTATGAGAAGTCTACCATCAGGCCATGGTTGCAGGAGCACCTCCATCTTGTTTTCCCAGGAAAGGCTATCTAGGAATATTGCACCTACTGTGCAAATAATGTTTTAACATGAAATATTAACAACATAAACTCACAAAATTACAATATTAAAAGTGATGTACTGGCATTCAGAGAAGTAATCATAGAATCATAGAAAAGTGAAGTTGGAAGGGGCCTACAAGGCCATCAAGTCCAACCCCCTGCTCAACGCAGGAATGCAATCAAAGCATATCTGCCAGGTGATTATCTGAGTTTTTCTTCAATGCCTCCAGTGTTGGAGCACACACCAACTCCCTAGATAACTGGCTCCACTGTCATACTGCTCTAACAGTTAGGACGTTTTTCCTAATATTCAATCGAAATCTGGCTTCCTGTAACTTGAGTCCATTGCTGCATGTCCTGCATTCTGGGATGATTGAGAACAGATCCTGCCCCCTCCTCTGTATGACAGCCTTTCAAATATTTGAAAAGTGCTATCATATCACACCTCAATCTTCTTTTCTCAAGGCTAAACATGCCCAATTCTTT